ACAAGGAGGGAAAAATCAACTGTCAGTGAAATCCTCCTATGGGCTATCTAAATGGAGGGGCAAAATAGCTGACCCAAATCATAAACAAATCCTGGATCTATAACATCATCTCAAGATTGCTCATGAGTGGCCATTGTAATTTTACTGGCATGTTTACTTTTTACTTGTTTAGCTATTTATTACTTTCTATATAATAATAATAAAATAAAACCCAAGAGAACTAAAACCAACCCAAGAACAAGATCTTTGATTAATACTAGAATCTGCCTGCTACTCCTTAATCTAAGAGGTAGCAATCTAAACTTCTTTTTTGTTTATTATTACTTCATCTTATGGGGGTACAAAGATTGTTAGGGTTACATAGCTTGCCCCTGCCCCCTCCTCCCCCACCCCTCTACGCCAGAGCTTCTAAACTACTCAAGTGCCCGTCAATTCATGAGTGGATAACTAAATTGTGGTATATGCTCACAATGGAATATTACTCAATCCTAAGAAACGACAGTGAGCTAAACTTCTTTTTTAATGGATCTCAGTTTTGCAAAATGAATTAAACATTACACTTGTTAAAACACATTCTTAGCACTGGTCCAGGCATGGACTTTGATTTTATGATTGCATGCTGTCATTTATTTAGAATAATAAATGATCATCATCTGAAACAAAAGCTCAAATCAAGAATAAAAACACAATCTATTGCTTACCCTGATCTAGATTCTCCTTAGCCACATGGGTGACAGTTAAGAAGATCCTTGTGCCTAAAGAACGATTAAAACAGCCAAGGTACATCCATTCTGTGGGAGTACAAAGCAGACATAAAAAAGAATAAAATAACTTCATCATTGGTTCCTATTTTGTGCCCATTCATTTAATTTACCACTTATTTAATTTTAAGCTCTAGAACGAGATTCTAGAACTTTCTTGAAATGATTTCCACAAAAGTTATATACTCACTCTTTTCTGTGCAATGAACCTCAGTTTCCACATGTGATCATAATTTTTATTCAGATGCATTCCATTCACATCATAGGCTCATGCACAGTTCTTTTGCATTTAATGCAAAAAATTTTAGATATCACAATGAACAATACATAACCCACTATCCTATTCAACAACTAGAATACTGACTTCCTAAATGAGTAAGAGCTAGAACTTTCTCAAGAGAGGAATGTTTAAATTATCAATGTGCCAAACATACTATGGGGTATTAAACTTTTGAAAATTAATATAGAAGCTAAGTTTTTTTTTTCTTGTACTTCATCTCTACTAAATTGGACTAATTGTGGCTCATAACCCATTCTCATTATCATAGGCCTGTTCATGGCCTTTCAAAATTTAATTATCTTCAGTGACACAGTGGAAACAGTGAACTAACAACCCAAACCAAGAACTTCATCACTTACACTGCATGCCATTCTCCTTACTCAGAGGGACAGGTAGAGATTTCATGACTGGAGAATAATTTAGTTAGCGGGAGTCCATCTACCCTGTGCAATGTGAAAAGGATGTTAACAAATGAAAAGACTTAGGTTTAGGTTTTAATTTAGTGAACATGAGGCAACCAACACAGAAATTAATCACAAATAATGATTTATGCCACATTCGTATCTCTGGCTCATGAATGGATCTCCAATTTATTTATTAATGTCTTCAGTTATCCATTTTAATATATTCAGAATGCCTTTAGAGGAACCACCCAACACTCAGACCTAGGAGACTCACAGACATCTCACCGCATGCCCCTTACCCATAGAGCTAGGAACACAGAACTCCTTTTGAAAAAGACTTTCTGTTGTGCTAATTTGAATTCATCATGATTCATCATGCAATCTGATCATCGGTCCTTACATGGTCCTCGCTGATTATATTCCGTCCTTTTTAATCATACCCTGACTACGCTAAGGAGACCACCCCAACAATGACAAAAACTTGGATCATTACTCACACCAAACCACAAAGGTGTTCATCATTACAGAATAATTATCAGCTTGAGTGTGTCCATTCTATGGAGCTGAAAGAAGACAGGGAGAGAGGAAGGAAAAATGAATATGGCTTTACATCTTTAAAAAATGGCACATAAAATATGCAAGAGTATTACTTGCAAAAGAGGGGAGGAATATGCAAAATTCTCTCCATTAATTCATGTTTTCCCCTTGATTTACTTAGCTATTTATAATTAGGTATTGATTGGCTCATGAGATTATTTACTTCTGTTTCTCTTCATAAACAAATTTGACGTCACCATTGTCCCAGAGCAAAATCAGTGAATATTATTATTCTTTGTCTATGTGACCTTTACTGAAAAAGGAAGCATCCCTGATTTATTTATTTATTAATGAGCCTCAGTGTTTGGGGATAATATTAAAAATAATGTAATTCCAAAGTTGTACTAATTGGACTTATCCTAATCCTCAGTGTGTAGCATATTCTCATCATTTTTGTCTTACAGAATAACACAATCTCAGGAACTGGCTAAATCATCACCATTATTTCAAGACATGCTCATTACAGGCTGATGTTTTGTCTCTTTCAGCCGATTACTATTAATGTATTCATTTACTTACTGTGAAGATAAAATCAGTATCTTTGCACACACCCAAGACTATGACACGGATAACAGTAACACAGTAACACGTATGCAGCTGCTCGTTACCAAAGTGATAACGGACGATGTAACTTAGTAATGGAATTTAGAGAGCACAATAGCTTATTATAGAAGAAATTTTTATCACTGTCCCTCTTTAATTTAAATAGTGCTTAGACTTTCATTTAATTATATAAACGACTTTCCTATTTAGTAATAAAACAAAAAACCAGTAACCAAAGATAACTCAGAACATAAACACTGACAATCCATACATCTGTCTACATGTTCCTCATTCTGAGAGATTAAAAAAAAAAAAAGAAAAACATGATTCCCAACCCCTCAGAAATAAATTAGTACTAGGACTTATTTCATTACTATGTCACAGCTGGTCCGGGCATGGCCATATTTTTATTCACTTACTACTACTGCTTGAGCTCTTCATGCATTAATTCACTTATAATGACATAATCGTTATCCATGAACCACAAAAGCACAAGAATAGGATAATTAACTATCTTAAACTACTGCTGATAGGATCATTTCCAACGGAGCAACAGACTAATTTCTTTTATATTGCACCTTCCACTTTCTGATACATATTATTCATAATCCTTGACCCACACCAGCCACCATCACTGGACCGCAATCACGCACACCCTTGTCTTCATTTATATGAATACTTTGTCAATTCATTTATTCATTAATTCACTACTCATAATAAATATACATGAATCAGGAAAAAAAAAAAACAGAACAAGAGCTATGACGTCCCTATTTTCTATCCGTACATCATTTCCCACAGAAACTACATCTGTTTCTTGAACTGACCTCATTGTTTCAAACATGGATCACTCAATATAATGCGTTATATCAATCCCATGGTCAACATGGGACCATGGTTAGCCTTCTTTAATTATACTTCCTACTTCTTAATAATACATTGACTACTCTTAAATGGCCCAAACCCAGACAAGAGCTTTGACTATTACTCACGTTTGTGCACGTGCTCAGGAGACAACCTAGAGCTAGTGGCCGAGGCAGAATGCCTCAATCAGCGCTGGAAGCCCGGGGCCTGCGGGAGTACAAGGAAGAGCAGAAAATAAAATGTGATGCTTTCTAACCATTAGTCTTTGCATTCTGTCCTTCATCTACTCAGTCATTTGGTATTCATTAACTTATGGTAGCACTTGCCTATTTTTTTCTTAATAAAACAAATATTGAACTTACAATTTGACCCAGAGCAATAACACTGATTATTAGTTGTCGATGGCTATGTGACTCTTAGCCAGAATTAAAACCATTGGCCCACTTATTATAGATTCCAAATTATATTAAAAGCATTTCTTTCCTTGCCACATATGTTAGCAATCAGAACATGCCTCACTCTCTTCTTCTTTAATCATTTAAATATTTGTTTATTGATACTTCCATTGATTCATTTATATTAATAGTAACCATAGTCCATGAACCATAAAATTAGAAGCACACAATCTTTGATACCACTAACATCTACCTATAGGAATTTCCTATATAAAGGTGATCCTATAGAATAGATAACATTTCTATCATATGGGACCTCAGAGTTCCAGACACTCAGTAGTCATCATCGTCCGTTACTCATGAGCCATCAGCTGTCACTGTTGGCTCAGACTTAGCCCTCATCTTCTTATTTTGTATCTATACGTTTTTACTGATTAACCGATCAGTTCACTAATAATAATAAAATAATTACCTAAGAGTCACAAAAACTTAAGAGTAAGCTCTATTGTTTGCCTATATAATTATTAGCTTGAAGAGCTCGAACATCTGTCTGTATAATTATTACAGCAATATATCTCTTTCATTAATTAACCTTAATGTTGTATATATGTACTAATCAATATAGTGCTTTGTATTAATCCCATTTTTACAGCTGGGCCACAGTATACTTTCAATGATTATATGTAATACTTCTTAATAATATCATGAATAGCTCTGAAAAGAAAACAGTGGAACCAAGAAAACAACTTTGACCATTACTCGCGTTGGTCTCCACAGACCATATACCATGCCGGTGAAGCCACAGATCTTCTAACCATCCAGAGAAGGCAAAATCGGATGGAAAGTGTTCATCCTAAGGAGTACAGAGCACAGGAGAGGGTGAAAAAGACAGGAGACACTGTCTGCATTGGCCTTTGCATTCTGTCTTCCATTTAGTCAGTGATATAGGTAATCTGGGATAACATTTATTTTATTTTCTCTTTCATAAAAAAACAGTATCAGTCATGCCTCTGACACAAATGAATTGTGTCATTGATTACTATGTATCACCATCTATCTCATCCTTATCCAAAGAAGTAACAACCTTAGACCACTTATTCCCTCCTTGTGTCATTGTTTTCAACATATACCACAGGTTTTCTTGCCTCACAAAATATTTTTTTTTTCAGGTAATGACTTTATTTTTTCAGTTAACATAACCAGCCCACGGCACAGCATACTAAATCACAAAGTACAAATCCAAGGAAGGTAATACCTTTACCAAGTCACAAAAATTTGGCAAATCAATACAGTACTCTTTAATACAATAAAATTTTATTTTTGTTGCAGTCATATATTACTTTAGAGGTAATTTGCACTCCAAAAATATTTAAGTACAAAACCAAAACACTGGTTTTTAAAGGTGGTTTATAGCAGAGCAAGTTATACAAATTAATATCTTTTAAAAGTATATAATTTCTCCTTTTAAAGTGAGTTCTCTCATGCAAGCTGTTGAAGTTACAGCAGCAGGGCAATCTCTGCTTTGTTTTGGGGTTGGTCCAAAGCCAGGTAGAGTTCCAATGCATGAAAAGCTTTAAAATTCTACCTAAGGAGAGTCAATGTCAATGCCAATTTCCAAGTACTTTTAAGAAAACTTAAATTTTTATATAAATACTGGAAACCTTAAAATTAGCCATTTCAAACAACACTAATTTCAGATGATCCCTTTATTTAGAAGCCCTGTATCTCTGTTTTGATCAAGTCACGTAGCCTAAATCAGCTTATTAAAAAAAAAAATTCTACCTAAAATATAGTTGTATTTTTTAAATAACAAATAAATATTGCCAGCTTGGAGAGACCTGGGGCACCCAACGTTATCTACCAACTGGTATCATCATTTTCCTACAAACGCTGCTGCTGCCATTGGAGTCCTTATGCCTCCTCTTGCTGAACCCGTCAGTTCTTCAATCTCGGCATTTAATTTATGTATTACCCATTCCATTGCTTCTCGGCCTTTATTAGCATTTTAAGATATGGTACTTGCCATCAGTCCTTCAAGGTAACTGCTAAGGCTGACTCCTTTCACAGTGATTATGGCTTCTTGAGTCAAAATAGTTTTTTCTGGGTCCTGGGGATGTGGTTTATATATAAGTCTTTCATCTACTGAAACCATATTTGTAAATGAAATATTAGTATATTTAAGTTCCATTGTTTTCTCTACAGGATCAACTACAGAATGTTCTTGCACATATGTTTTGGTTCTTGCTGCACCAATAAGAGACTTCACAATGGAAGGCAGTCCCCACTCTGTGCTCAGAAGTCTATGGCTGTGCAACTTTCCGGAGGGATCTATATGTCTGTCCAACACATCAACTCCCACCACACTCGGGTTCATAGGGTTTGGGTATTTCTGCATTGCAGCTGTGGTAACAGTTTCCCATGGGTGGTCAAAGACATGCTCCGAAGTCCAGATCTTCATGGTGCAGGCGGCCCACGCGGTGCCTGGGGGGCGCTAAGGGACAATGAGGCAAAGAGGCTACACCTGACCCCGCCCCACACCCAGCACCCCAGCACCCCGGCCGCAAAATATTTTTTAAAGTATACACATAAATAATGTTGGATATGTTCTTCATCTATGCGTCCATCACTTACAACACCTTATATTCATTCCATATTTATCCCTGGGCGACACATGGACGGATTTGATTATATTTCATATTTTTTGATGGTGCAATGAAAACCTATAAACAGACCACCCAAGACGGGACAAGAACTTTGACTGTTACTCACAGGGGGTCTCCAGGCTCCTAACACAGGGACGCAACTTCACTCAGGAAACTCCTTCACTCAGCCTTTGGGTTTCCATTCTGAAGGGTACAGAGCAGAACAGATGACAACAAAAATGAGACCGTTGCACGTTGATCCTCGCTTTTCAGTTCTCTTTTAGTTATTCACTTATACATTCATTAATCTGGAGTCCATTTCTTTCATTTTCTATTAAGAAAATGAACAAGTTTGAACTTGCCACTGACCCAGAACTTAAACATGGCCTACAATTCATAATGTCTTTATCACCATTAGTCAAAGAGGTAACAGGTATGCCAGATTTCTCTTTGGACTTTACCAATTTCAATATATATTAATAGTATTGGTAGGTCTTGTCTAACAACTTATTTTTATAATTGGACAATAATAAAGTATGAACATTTTACTCTTCATTGATCTACTGATATCTATTTCTATATCTATTCATTCTCTTATTGATCCAATTATAAATATAAAATGGAAATGCATGAACGCGAAGACCAAAAATACTTCATTCTATATTCCTGACATATAGGATCATTCAAAGCAGAAGGAATGGACCAGTTACCTTCTGTGATGGACCTCAGAGTACAGACGTAGTCATCGTATTCAACTCATACGCCACCAGTAGTCATCATCAGCCCAGGACTGGCCCTCTTTTTCTCCATCTCTACTTTGTCCGATCAATTCATTAATTCACTAACAATAATTTTCAACACTAGGATTCACAAAACTCCAAAAAGAGACTCGACATTCCTAATCTCTGTCTAGAATCACTCTCACATTGATATACGTTTCATTAATTATCCTCAGTTTTTCACCGATGCGTTATCAACATAACACTTCACATCAGTGCCGTATTTATCGCTGGATAAACTTCACCGTCTTTGACTATATTACACACTTATTTACAGCACATGGGCAGTTATGAAAACCACACAAAGAAAAACAAGACATGTGACTATTACTCACACTGGTCTGCAAGCTCTGTCCTAAGCGTGGTGCAAACGGCGCACATGACCATGCGGGATCCTCAGAGCAGAACACGTCATCCGTTCTGAGGCTCGTAATTCAGAGATAACAAGAGAGAGACAATCTGACGATGGACCCTTGCCTTTCACCCACCATTAGTCACGTAAACTGTCATTATTTGGAGTCTACATATTCCATTTTCTCTTAAAAAAAACATGAAGAATTTTGAACTCGCAACTGGTCATGAATTTTAACATTATCTAGAATTATACTGTCTATGTCATCATTAGCCAAAGAGGTGACAGGCAGGTACCATTTATGTCTCTTTGGACTTCATTGTTTTCACTAATAGTGCTTCTTGCCTCAGCACATATTTTTATAATTGGGCAATGATTAACATCATTCATCTTTTATTTATTTATACATTTGGTTAGTGGTTCTGACGCTGACCAATTATAAAAATAGAATAAAAATATATAAACACAAAGACCAAACACTAACCCATTCTATATTCCTGACACCTTTCTAAAGGATTATATCAAACACAGAAAATGGCTTGATTTCTTTTGTGATGGACCTCAGATTTCCATATGTGTATTCATCGTATAAGACTCATACACCACCAGCTGTCATCATCGATCCAGGACTGATCTTTTTGTCCTACACACTTCCATCTTGTCTATTGACTGATTCACTAATTCACTCTTAATAATTTTAAGTCACTATGATTCAAGAAACACCAAGGACAGCCTTGATAGTCCTAATCTGTATATGGAACCATTTCAATATTGATATAGCTCTTTAATTAAATATCCTCATGTTGTTACCTAAGCATTATCAATATAGTGTTTCATATTATACTTTTTTTTTTTGAGACAGAGTCTCGCTTTGTTGTCCAGGCTAGAGTGAGTGCCGTGGCGTCAGCCTAGCTCACAGCAACCTCAAACTCCTGGGCTCGAGCGATCCTTCTGCCTCAGCCTCCCGAGTAGCTGGGACTACAGGCATGTGCCACCATGCCCGGCTAGTTTTTTTTTATATATATATCAGTTGGCCAATTACTTTCTTTCTATTTATAGTAGAGACGGGGTCTCACTCTTGCTCAGGCTGGTTTTGAACTCCTGACCTTGAGCAATCCGCCCGCCTCGGCCTCCCAGAGAGCTAGGATTACAGGCGTGAGCCACCGCGCCCGGCCCATATTATACTTTTGATGACACCACTGAGTCCTCTTAAACAAAGCACCTGAACTGAGTCAAGAATGCTGTCTATTACTCACATTAGTCCGTACGCACCTGACCGGGATCCCAACGTGGATGGGGACCGTGGAGGAATCCTTAAACCAGCACCACTCGTCCATGCTGAGGAGTACAGAGCAGAGAAGACGACAACAAAATGAGACAATCTCACTAATGATCCTTGCTTTTCACTTTCATTTAATGAACGATTTAGGCAATCATCATTTGAAATTGCCACTGACCCAGAACTTAAACCTTGTCTATGACTTATACTGTCCATACTATCATTAGCCAAAGAGATCACAGGCATCTACCATTTAATTCTCTTTGGACTTCACTATTTCAATACCTATTCATAGTGTTTCTTGCCTCACCATGTGTTTTTATAATTGGACAATGCTTAATTTTATTCATCTTTATTAATTCATATATTTGTTTACAGATTCTCATTGATCCAATTATAAAATAAAATAAAAATGCATAAAACACAAAGACCAGAGACAAATTCATTCTATATTCCTGAAATCTCCCTATAGGATCATTTAAAACAGAGGGAACTGGTGTTTGTGATCGACCTCAGATTACAGACGTAGTCATCGTACGACTCATACGCCACCAGTAGTCATCATCGGTCCAGAATTTGCCCTATTTTTCTCCATGCATTTTACTTGTCTATTAATTAAACTCATTAATTCCTAATAACTGTTAAAAACCTTTGGTTTTCAAAAACCCAAGAAGAGCCTTGATATTCCTAATTTCTACAGAGAACCATCCTAACCTTGGTGTATCTGTTTCATTAATTGTTCAAAGCTCATCATATGCATTATCAATATAATACTTCAAATCACTCTTAGAGCTATGACTAGGATACATTTGGCTCTCTTTGATTACATTATTCACCCTTTTTATAACACACTGAATCCTCTTAAACAAGCCACCCAAACCACGACAAGAATGCTGACGATCACTCACTTTGGTCTGCACGCGCCTTCCAGAACATGGGTCAAATCAGAGCTCGTGACCCCGGAGGGATCTTGAGATCGTCACAAATACATCCATCCTGACAAGTACAGAGCACAGAAGATAACAAAATTGAGATCGTCTCCTTACTCATCCTTTCTTTTCACCTATCATCAGTTAGATACTCAGGTAATCATTGAAGGAAGTATATTTATTTCATTTTTATCTGTAAGAAAACGAACAATTTTGAACTTTCCACTGAACCAGAATATGAACATTGCTGATAATCTCCATACCATCTGTTCACTATTAGCCAAAAAAAGGTTACGTATGTATGATTTCTTCTTGGCTTTCACCCAATTTAAATACGTAGTAATAGTACTTCTTGCCTTACCACATATCAATAGTTTTATAATTTTGCACAGTGCTTAATTTTATTCTTTATGTATGCATCTATTTTATGGATTTTCTAATTGATCAACTTATTAAATGAAATAAATATACGTAAACAAAAAAAACCAAAAACAAATGTATTCTATATTCTTATAGAATACAGAGGATTATTCAAAATAGAGGGAACCGATTTTCACCAAGGACTTCAGAGTTCCAGACCCGTTGTCATCGTGTACAACTCATACTCCGCCAGTAGTCATCATCAGTCCAGATCGACCCTCTATTTCTCTACCGTTTCTACACTGTCTGTAAATTATTTCATTAATTCAGCAATAATAATTTTAAACTGCTACATTTCACAAAGCTCGAGAACAGACTTGACATTTCTACTCTGCATGATCATTCTAACATTAACGTATCTGTTTCAGTAGCTGTTCTCGGATTTTCATGTGTGCATTACACCAACAAATACTTCATCTCACTGCCATAAGTATCACCGGGATACAGTTGGCTTTATCTTTGAATATATTACACACTTCTCGATAATACATTGAGTCCTCTTAAAGAAAGCACCTGAGCCAAGTCAAGAACGTTAACTATCAACTCACAGTGATCTGCATGCTCCTTCCTAAGCATGGTCCAAACAGGGCATGGCACAGGTCTTCCACTCTGAGGAGTATAGAGCAGAGAAGATGATAAGATTGAGACACTCCCAGTATTGATCCTGGATTTTCGCCTGTCATTAGCTAGCCATTTATGCAATCATTATTGGGGGCACACTTAATTCATTTTCTCTAAAGAAAATGAAAAATTTTGAGTTCGCCACTGCCCCAGAAACTGAACATTGTCTGTACTTTACACTGTCTATACCATCGTTAGCCAAAGAAGTCACAGGCATGAAACATTCGCTCCCCTGTGGACTTCACTGCTTAAAAATATATTAAGAATGTTTCTTCTGTCATCACATAGTTTTATAATTGGACAGTGTTTACCACTATTCATTTTTATTTATTTATATATTTGCTTATTACTTCTCACATTGACCGATTATAAAAATGGAATAGAAATATGTAATATGGATGCCAAAAAAATACACTCTGTATTCCTGACATCTGTCTGTAGAATACTCTCAAATGTGTGGATGGGCCAGATTTCCTCCCTGACGGACCTCAGAGTTCCAGACGTTACTCATCGTCCATGACTCATATGCCACCAGTGGTTGTCATCATTCGGTCCAGAACTGGCCCTCCTTCCTTGGAGTTCTTTTCTACCTCGTCTGTTGATTTATTCATTAATGCAGTAATTAATAATTTTAAGTCCTACTGCTCATTAAACTGCAAGGACAGCCTTAATATCCTTAATTTATATACAGAATCATTCTGATATTGATATGTTTATTTCATTTATTATCCTCAGTTTTGCAGGTATGCATTTCCAATATAATACTCCACACATCACTCCCATATTTATTATTCGGATACAGTCGGCCCATCTTTGATTGTAAGTGCGACTGTACCGACCTCTGTGCTGATCTGATCATAAGACATCGAATGGTCTTTAAAACAAAACCAACCCGCACACGCCAAGATAAAGGACTTTTTGACTATTGCTCACAGCTGTCTGCAGGCTCCTTCCTCAGCACAGAGCACGTGGTCGTGGGGAATCCTCACTGCAGCACGGGTCATCCCCTTTGAGGAGTATAGAGCGGAGAAGATGATAAAGTTGACACACTCCCAGTACTGATCCCGGCTTTTGACCTGTCATTCGCTAGTCATTTACACAATCATTATTGGGAGCACAGATTTTGAGCTCGCCACTGCCCCAGAAACTGAACACTGTCTATACTTTACACCGTCTATACCATCGTTAGCCAAAGAAGTCACAGGCATGAAACATTCGCTCCCCTGTGGACTTCACTGCTTAAAAATATATTAAGAATGCTGCTTCTGTCATTACATATTTTTATAATTGGACAGTGTTTACTGCTATTCATTTTTATTATTTATATATGCTTATTACTTCTCACATTGACGATTATAAAAATGGAATAGAAATATGTAAATATGGATGCCAAAAATAAATACACTCTGTATTCCTGACATCTGTCTGTAGAATACTCTCAAATGGTGGTGGGCAGGGCCATTCCTCCTGACGGACCTCAGAGTTCCACAGACGTACTCATCGTCCATGACTCATATGCCACCAGTGGTTGTCATCATTCGGCCCAGAACTGGCCCTCCTTCCTTGGAGTTCTTTTCTACCTCGTCTGTTGATTAATTCATTAATGCAGTAATTAATAATTTAAGTCCTACTGCTCATAAATTGCAAGGACAGCCTTAATATCCTTAATTTTATACAGAATCATTCTGATATTGATATGTTTATTTCATTTATTATCCTCAGTTTGCAGGTATGCATTTTCATATAATATCCACACATCACTGCCG